CAAAGAATTACAGAATCGATTTGACCTCGTGGTCCCCAAATCTAAACCACCTGCTGGGCCACTCACACCCTACCTGGAACAGCAGCATCTGGCATGTGCAGACCACTTGAAAATAAAATTTCAATTTATTAATAATGTATTTTATTATAAATTAAATACTGTAAGGGGACATACAACTGTAAACATCATTGTGTATTTACATTTAGGCTGATAAATTCCTGTAAAAAATCATTCTGACAGTTTTCTAATATAGGAAGTGGGCTTAATTTCTTTTCCACCAAATCATCCATGAAGAAAAACTCAACATTTTATGAAGAGTTTATTTGCATTTCAAAGAGTGTTTAAAATCCATACATTATTTTTTATTACAGCCTGACATTTCTTTCATGGTTATGATGGCGCTCAAGAGCATCCCGAAGTATGATTTTTTGGTCTGTATTCAGAGGGACATATTCTCTAACATCAGCCCCAGCATTGATTCTATGTGGTGCCAAGTTTTCTATTCTCAGGAAACTGAGGATGTGTTATAAGCCGTCTCAATGGACACATCCCTAAAATAGCTGGGCACGTATGACTTAGTGCCTAATATTTCCTGTTTCCACTTGAGCCTTCACAGGGCCCGAGTTAGATAGAATTGTTTAGGAACAGAACATTTCCCAAATCATCCTGACACTCACTTGAAAAACAAAAACCGAAGAGGACAAAGGCAGATTGCTGCAATCTGAAAGCCATGGGATTTTTGACTCAATAAATTCTTCTGTTCCTAATTCTCTACCTTTTATTTCTCGACTGTGTGTTCCTCTCTGGAGGAACTGACCAGTGCACACTTTTCCAGACATACAACCCTGAAAGCAGGACCCGCTTCTCCATTTCCCTTTGCCCAGCAGCAGCTCTAACATTCTTGATTTGTTACGGGGAAATGCTTAACACATTCTGCATGTGCGTATTTCTTTCCTGTGTATGTGCTTAGTTATTTATCACTTTACATTATTCATACCTCACTTTTCTTAGGCTCTAAACTTGTTTCCTGAAGTTGTTTTATATGTGTTATGTGAGAACTGACATTTCATATCTCAACTGTTTTTTTATTCATAACCTCTCCTTTCCCTGACATATATTGGATACCTTAAATTAATATATGATAGCAAAATGAACTGGCCATAATTAAATAAACAAATTTTGACTTACAAATCCTTCAACAAAGCAGAAAAAAATGTCATTGACATTGTTAAAATATTATTAATCAAATGATGTCTACTTAAAACATTATTATAATACAGAAAATTAAACAATAAAATAATACTTTTTAACTGTCTTCTAATAAAGGCAGTTTATTTTGTATATTAACTTGCACATTTTGTCAAATTTAATATAGCACATTAGATAGTGATGAGCGTTTAATATATCTTGTAAAGATTTTATGTCAATAACCAATCTTAAAATCTCTTGCCTTAGTACTCTTTGAAACTGTAACTGGATAAAGGAAAGAATATCGATATTGCCAAATTTGACTAATACTCACGAGAGGATATTCCCAATATAAGCATAGTAGGAGCAACAGTAGGGTGTGGTTCCATCACAGCAGTAAGATCTGCACTCTTTGCCACACTGAGCGATGCAATTGTCTACAAAATAAAAACCACACATGAGCAGTTAATGTTGTAACATCCCAGTTTCAGGAAAAATTATTCTATGTCACATCTTAATCAGCCAATGACCACTCTTTAGTACATGTAGATCTTCATATTTGTACTCAGAATTCTAAAATAAGGCTCTAACTTAGCCTCTCTTCCCCACTTTAAGCTGGTAAAGGCAAAGACAGTTCTTCTTCAATCTTCTGCACCAAGAACCATCCTTGGCAGTTAGGGTTGGTTGAATCAGCTAATGAAAGAAGGAATGAATGAATAATTCAATAATCAGTCATTAAATTTGTCAGTAAAGTTTTTATAAAAAATTTTAAATGACAAAGTCTTCTGATTTTAGGGTATTATATTTTCAATTAACCTCAATTAATGGAAAGGGTTATTGACATAGATAATAATAAATAAGGATAATGCATAATTTCCATGACAATGCATTATAAGCTTTTCTTTTATATCATTTTTTACCTTCATAATTACAGTTGGCATACATATAGTAGCACAAAGGAGTCTGCTTCCTGTCCATCCCTTTGGACTGGAAGTTGTGGGTGAGTTATAAGAAGAAGTTCTCATAGGTAATTAATTTGTGAGTACTTAAGAGTTTATTTAATGTAAGATTGAAGAATCAAACTATCAAAGAGTACTACGTGAAGGAGGGAGAGGTATTTTTTGATTTCAAGGATTTGTTGGAGCAAACAAAACTAAATTACTATTTTTTCTATATATTTTTCAGCAAGAAAAATTATACCAAAAATGTTTT